TACTGCCATAAAACCTCATACTAACCCACAGCAAATTCATTTCCCACAGAAATGGCAAATACATTTTTTTTTGGGGGGGGCTCGTCCTAAAACAGTGTATGCAGCAAGAACTCGAGTCCCTTTCTATTCACTGAACTGTATGTGGTCTTTCTCTCTGATCTCTCACACCTGCTCTGCTTGGCTTGCACAATCTCATCCACCCTTGCCAGTCTCTCCGTGACTCTTGCTCCATCCAGGTATGCCCCTGGTGACCTGAGGTCCTGCTCCAAACCACTCACAGAGAGTCAGAAGTGTGACTTCTTCCAGCCTTGTACTTTCTGGCATTTCCATCTGTATTACGCTGCCATGGGAATCAGGAGGCCTTTAGGGAATGACTTTAACAACTGTGTTTGGAACCATCCAAATTTCAAATGAGCACATGAATGTGGTAGAAATGTACAGGCAAGTCGGGACAGAGAAAATGTTTACTTAATGGAAAAACGTTCTCCCTGAGGTTTCAGGCTCCTCTACACGGGGCTGATTCAAGTGCAGGGAGAACCTGGTTCCCTGTTTACTGCAGAGCAGCTTCTCCACTGGCTAAAATTAGCTTTTAGATCACTGGGCTTGTGCGTTGCAGAGCACTCTGTCCCCTGGGGCTGTGCTGTTGGACTCAGTTGGTTCTAACTCCTGCTGATCACCTGTGATTATCTCCCTGGCTGAGCAGTCACAGGTTGTACCTGCTAAAAACCCTCACATCTGCAGAAGATGGGTCATTAGCACTGCTCAATCCCTCCTCATAGATGCTGTTAGGCTTAGACTGCCTGACTTCAATTCATTCCATTGGAGTTGAAAGGCCACAGTAGAATAAATGCTTTTCCTAGATGTGACCCATGTATTGTATTTGGCATTCTCACTTTAGGACATGCCCAGGCATGCTCAAAATTAATTTCGTGGCAGGAGATTTTCTGCCTTCAATATTAAGATGGCTTTTCCATCTCGCTCAGCACTGCAGGAGACCGTTCCTGACATTTTAAAAGTCAGTGTCAAACAGAAAGGAACATTGTAATTCTCTGGCCTCTGTTCTGGGCTTGATTTTCTGACTATCTCACCAATCATAAACCTGGTCCAGTAGGAACAGAGCTCCCAAGGCAGAAACTTTCCTAGGAAAAATTATCTAGTCTTCCTCCAAACTACCTCTTCAGGAAATGTAATGGTTCAGTGTGACCACACCTTGGTTTCTCTGCTTCATATGTGGTACCTAAGTTGATGCTTTTAAATAGCATCACAGGGTCAGCAAGATGGCTCTGCAGGTAAAGTCTCCTGCTGCCAAGTTTAAAGACCTGAGTTTGATCCTCCAAGACCCACATGGCAGAAGCAAAGAATTGACTCCCAAAAGTTATCCTCTGACATTCACAGGAGCACTGTGACACACAAGCACACACGCATATGCATGTGTATACATACACTACATAACTATCTACCTACCTAACTAAATGCATAAACAAGCATACAAACATACATACACAGGTAATTTATAAGGACTTCCTCAAATAATAAGCAGTAGTAAACGGGAATGCTCATACATCTCCCTACACTCTGAACAGATGGGATGTAAATTCCTAACATCACAAGAAGAACATTAAAACATGACCTTTGGGATTGTAATAAGCCATCAGAATTTCTCCTAAATTGATGTAATATTAATTTTAAGAAGATAAGGGTTAACCCTTATTTAGAATATTGTCAATATGACATTGCTTTGTATTTTAAGTGTCTTTAATTCTTAAAATATCCTCCCTATGGATATGGTTACCATTTCTACAGACAGAGAGGACAACCCCTCGTGTTCTCCTGTGCAGCTGTGTTTAGCTCTATACACGAAACAGGACTACAAACTAACTTCTCAGTACTTACTGATCTCATTCTTAGTTTAGTAACTGCTCCCCTGGTAGCTCTCAGTCTTCCTTTTTCAGCTAAGGTTCTTAAGAAAAAGTAAAACTCCTTCAACTCCCTGGCCAGTCAATATCAATAGATAAGAGCAAATATGCAAGCAGTTCAAAACACTTTTAAAAGCTTAGCAACTTAGATGTCAACGTGACTAAAACACAGGACAGCTTTTAAAGGCTACTATTTGTAACAGTGGCTTTATTGCCATCTAGTGCTCAAAATGAAAATAACAGGTAAATGAGGTTAGGCTTTATTTGCTTTTAAAGTCTTACCACCCAGGGAGTCATTTAATTACCAAAAAAAAAAAAAAAAAAAAAAAAAAAAAAAAAAAAACCATTAAATTTACATACATTAAATATGAGCTAATTAAACTCTGACATACAGAGTTATTGTTTCTTCTTACTCTCATTACATTCATATGCTAAATAATAAACTATACATGTCCAGAATTCTTTCTTATATCACTTAAAGCCTTAAAGAAAATTGAGAACTAATTTTCAGTAGATGCAGTTAATGTGTTTTGGGGCCATATGGGTTTATTTTAGGTCAATTTTTTCTGTGTCAGTAGTTATTCTGGTATCTGATGTATTACCATTTCAAATCCTTCCAACTGTATCTAAGGCTAGTTCATCTCAACTAGATTTGTTTAATGACCTAAGCAGCCACAGTAAGATGCTGAGAACTATAGCTTTTCAATGTCTATGTTGAATAACTCCCATCCCTCCACAAAATGATTCAGTTAGTCTACATTTGGAAACTTTCTACATTGGTGTCCTGAATCATTATTTGCCTTCTCATAAACACAGTGTCTCTCCATTTTACAAACACAGGGACTATAATGCATTTGCACCCTTCAACATAACCGCCTGCCACTGTTGCTCTCCTTGTAGGCTTTTAAGCATGCCATTATCTGAACATCATGAGATACTTAATTTACATCGGTGTCTCCCCTCTTTGAAGTGTTTAGATACCTGCAGTTACACCCTGAGGAATAAGGTTGGCGTGTTCTGGAGCCTTTTCAGATGGCAGCTCCTGGCGCACTGCTCTGCAAGCCACAAGAAGCCTGAAGTGCAGTTGTTTGGAGGCCTTGACCTAATGTGGAAAATGATGGTCATGAATGCAGAAGTGCGCCTGTCTTCAGCACTCCAAAAGGAATTCATTACGGCACCGCATCATCACGGTAGTGAGAAGGGGGAGGTGCTCAGATGATTGATTGTCATGTGCACTATCCGTCAATGACAGAGATGTCATACTAGGTCTCCATCTACAGACAATGAAATGATTTTTCAAGAAGATGTGAACTAATAGGAACCGAGGTGGTATTTGTATTACCATTCAAAGTGCTGTGAAGTTCAAGAGGCTGAGCTTTCCTGGACGCCTCTGTTTTCATGACATCATCTGTTCATACAAAACTCGCAAGTGTGTTTTTGCTTTTGTTTTTCCTTTTTCTGGACAGAGTATAAGGTGACAGGCAAATGCTGGTGATAGGGATAGTGCCCATCTGTGCTGCCCTTGTCCTTATGGTCCAGGGAGACAGCCGCCTCCAGCCTTGTTCAGCCTGTGTACTAGAATAATAACAATTCCTAACCAAGGTGGGCTCATGTGGCTCCCACACACAGCACAAACAATGGATACATTCTTCACAGGGCTCTGAACATTGCCAACTAAGTACCCTGAGACAAGCAGCTTGTGTATTACCACTAATGATCAGAGCTCCACACCTCCTAATTTCAAGGGATTTAATTAACACATCCTCTTCACACTGACCAACCTGGTTTTACCTCACCCAAGTGGTAATCTATTAAATAACTTTAGCCTCACAGGACTTTGTCACATGATTTGACTTCCAGTGTCTCGGGGCTCTCCTGACCCAGGGCTATTTTCACTCTTTAAGGCCATGTGCTAATGGCTGCCCTTTGCCACAGTAGCTAACATAGACCATCCAAAGAAGCAATGAGCAATAACCCAAACCTCTGACTGTACAACTGGACTTTGTGTCTAAAGATATTAAATGTACTATAAGGTCAAATATGTGCTTTCTATGCTGTTGAGACACACCATGCTGAAGTACATTTTTAAACAATGATATAAAAAGTGTTGTCTTGTGGAAAAAAAAAAAAGTACTAGCTGGTTTCACTGGCCTGAACGCCAGAATCCTAATCAGCTTGGACTGACCAACACCCACTGCTCACATATACAGTTCAGTTAGATTCCCTTTTTCCTAAGGATGCAGCATCTGAATTTAGAATTTGAATTATTGCTATCCTGGGTTTCCTCAATTTTTATCATTTATAATGCTTTTCCAATAATCAACACACACACAAAACATAATCTTATTAGAGGAAATAAGCCAGACTCAGAAAGACAAATATTGAATATTTTCTTTCATATGTAAAACCTAGGCTTAAAGTTGTGTGTGTGTGTGTGTGTGTGTGTGTGTGTGTGTGTGTATGTAGATATAGAGGGTCGTGAAACCAGGAAGGGGATCGTGATGGGGGGAAGAAAGAGATCTTAAAGGGGGAGGACAATGGGATCCATGTGACATTAACGCAGAAGAGGGGACTGTTGGAGGGCGGATGTGACAGGAAAGGGCAGTGATGGAGGAGCTGAATTAGAACAAAGTGTAATGACTTCTCTGCGTGAAAATGCCAAAATTAATCCTTAATGTGCTACCTTAAAACAAGTGTTTTAATATAAGTCTTCAGTGTACAAAAAGATTACACACATTTTTCATCTGCATTCCATCTTATAGTTTCTGTGAGCAGTGCAAACTCTCAGCTTCAGATAGTATCCCCTCCTTCCTGTTCCAGAAATCATTCAGTCTAGACTCAAATTCAAAAGACACCAGAGGCAGTTCTTACTTTTATTATTATGGTGATGATTTTAATAGGCACGCCAAGATAAAAGTAGTGAAATGAAAAAAGAAATGGCCCTACTTCAGGCAAAGAAAACCAATCTTTATGAAGAAGAAATTCAATGCTGGATCAAACATTTTAAAATACCTGATCTTGTGTGTGTGTGTGTGTGTGTGTGTGTGTGTGTGTGTGTTACAGACAATTAAGACCAGGCAAACATGGTAGCACACAAAATTTTAACGAGTGATGGAGTTTTGCTGGTATTTAAGAGTAAAACAAAACGGTCTTAACTTGTGCTTTCACTTAACTGTGGGAGAGTAGGCACACACCTCCATACCCACATGCGTAACATGAGCCATCACTTCTGTAGAGTCTGTACCTCAGCTGAGAAACAGGAACCCTGAGGTTCTGAGAAATTTAATATGCTCAGTAAGCCACTGGTCTCTATTTCTATTCTTCTATTTCTTCCTCACCGAACCCATACTAGAAATACTAATTTCATAGAAAAGGTGGTTATTACAAAAGTTAGGTGTGAAACTCATGCTTCTGGGTTAGATAGTGTCAAAAGGCATTGCGGTTTCTTGTGACTGCTTCTTTTTCCTCTGGGTGTTGGAGAATAGCTTAGAGCACAGAGCCCCAAGGGGAGGCAGTCAACTCTTCAGGGCATGTTTTCTTTCCTGCAGAGGGCAAACCGGGAACCTCACTTGAAGGAGGCCCTCACCACCCTACCCTTGACTGGCTGCGGGGGGCGCCAATTCCCCACCAGAGGCACCGGGGGCTCATTCTCTGTGCTGGCGAAGAGACTGCGAAGCTTGGCCATCTGTAAGGGCAAACAGACTGTCAGAAACTGTCGGCTTTGCACGAGGGGCCAGGCAAACCACAAAACCAGTCTCCAGGGATAGGTTGTGAGATGAGACACACCAGCTCATAACATAAACATTTCCTTACACCCAGGTCCTCCTGCTCTCTAGGCAACCGCCTTTCCCACAGAATTTCTCCTGCACTGTAAACTGAGGAGTCAGCATGCGGTATACACTTTATATAGAAGGGGATGATGCCAGCAAATGAGAAACACAATGATAGGCTTCCACTGGATAATCAACTCAGGTATTTATGAAATTACTTCAAAGGACAAGAAAGAAAGTAAAATCGGGCTGTATGTTAAAATGTTAACTGTTTCTTTTCTTTTTGTTTCTTAAAGGATGAGAAAATATGAAATTCTCATAAAAATATTATGTCTTGGTAGTCGAGATGGTTGGGTGTGTAAAGGTGCTGATGGCAATTCTGACAAACTTTGATGCCTGAAACCACAGGGCAGAGGACTGCAAGTTGTCCACTGACCATCACACGTGTGCTCACATACACACACACATACACACACATACACACACACGTATTATACTTTTAATGGTAATACATATTATGCTCTAGTAATAAAATGGTTAGCTTTCCTCATTTAAAAAAATGTCATTCCACTTTCAAATTCTTTACCAATGAACAAGACTGTTAAAGCTAATTCTCTCTTTATTTCTTTGTTTGCTTTTCAGGGTCCACCCTGGAAGAAACGTATGAGCCACTGGTGGTCTTAGGCCAAGGGGTCAGGCTGGTGAGCTGATCTGACTGTGAGACATCCCTGCTCCGGGCTGTGAGCCCTGTGTGTTTCATTTTAACTATGTTCTCCATGGCTACACCCACTTAGCCTTCCTTGAAGCCCTGTCTTGTACATGTTGCCAGTCCACTCTTTAGATGAATGGAAGGAAGGCAGGAGTAAGAAAGAAGAGCTGCCAGGGACTCTTAGGAATAGACAGACTGTGACGTGGAGTTTGTACTTCTCGTCCTTGTAGAGAAATTGATTTATGTTTCAGAAGCCGAGTCTCAGCTCCTGTCCTGGTAAAAGCTGGAGGAACGCAGCACTGCTCCCCAGGCCTGAATTTGTGCTCTCCCCCTCCCCCTCTACCCCCAACTCTAGCCAGTCCTCATGCATACTGAAACCCAGTTCGGGAACCCACCTGCTCTTACAAGACTGCATTGTCTCACTATCCTGGGGAAGCTCCCTTCGGACAAAGCTGAACAGGCCGAGGGAATGTCTAGAGGGCAAACTGTGAGCCACCTGAGGACCACACCAGCAATCTGGCATTCAGCCTCTATGGGCCTTTAGCAGGTGCCTTCTTCAGTCCACAGTTAACACACAGGGCTCTGCGGCTGCACGCACCTGGTCCGAGCTCACGGTCATGGGCTCCTTCAGCAGCAGCCACACGATGCACTCCTCGCAGGGCGGCGTGGTGAAGGAGCCATGGTAGGTCCAGTAGTCCCGGCAAGCAGGGAACAGGCAGGACGGGTCGAAGTGAGTGAAAGGAGCCTCCTTGCCCTGCAACACGGGCACAAGCACTCTAAGCGGGCATGCGCACTCGGCGACCCCTAGAGTCCTCACTTTTACAAGAACAGATTTCACTAGCGGAAAAAGACAGCAGACATTTGAACAGGTTCAGGCCCCTTCACCAGTACGCCTCAGATGGAAAGGAATCTGCTTTATGTTCTGACTTGATCTGTTACAGCCACTGCAGCATTTTATTCCTTGTTTTCACCGTGGGTGGGGCAGCGATCCTGTCCTTTCTCACGGGGTGGGGGGGGAGACTCAGACTGAACTGCTTGGGAGTTGATTTGAAGACTTTGACTTCAGTACATTTCATGCTCAGAAGAGCCATACTTAAAAGCAGCTACTTGGAATAATCTCAAAAACAACTAAAATGTGTCAGTTAGTTAGAAGAGTTTACAGTCAATAGTGTGTGTCTCACTCACCTTCCTGGGGAAAGACCTTATCTGACAGACTGACCGACAAGTGAAATAGCAGATGTGCAAATGCTCTAAGGACTCAACACTAGACAAATACCAGGGCATCTGCTTTTGTATGCAAACATATGATATTCATCAGACGCTGGCAGGTTTTATCTGCAATTAGAAGACAATTGCTATATTCTGACTTAGGTTTGCAGCTCTTATATGATTTGCTCTTACCTTAGTCTTAATTTTGTCCAGGGCATCAAGAAAAATCTGGAACTCTCCTTTCTCCCGTCCTATCTGTAAGAAAATAGACATCCAATACGATACTTTCCCCCTCCTTCATAACTGGAGATCATCATAAAAGCTGATTTGACCCATCCAAGTGCAATTGTTGTTTATAAGTTTTCCAATGCCTTGGGTTAAGCTAAATATTCACTCTGAAGGATTATAGAATATATATTTTCTGATCTAAATTTGGATTTCAGTTCTCTGAAGTACAAAACCACAAAATTACACCGTGGTTCAACTCTATTTCCTTGACCCTCTCTGCAAAGTCATTCCATTTTTTAAAATAATTTATTTTTAACTTTTTAATTGTATGTGCATTGGTGTGAAAGCTATCAGATCCTGGGGAACTGGAGTTATAGACAGTTGTGTGCTGCCATGTGGGTGCTGGGATTTGAACCTGGGTCCTCTAGAAGAGCAGCCTGTTTTCTTAACCATTGAGCCATCTCTCAGCCCCCATTGCATTTTTTTAAAAGAGCCAAAGCAAAAGTAGACTTTTATGTTTCCACAACCAAATTGTCTTTCCCCTCCTAGTCCTCCCAGTAAATTCAGAACCTAGAACAAACTAGGTCATTCTCTGGCTTAAAATGCAGATTGGGTTGCCACAATGTTCATGTGTTAATGTTACTAAGTCCTATTTAAACCAAGGCTGGCTGAACAACACACACATTCCTTGTGCCATCCTAGCCTGAGATCCTGTGGGTGGTGCCCCCCTTAAGCTGAGAGGAGGTCCAGCCAGGCACTTGGCATCACAGAAGTTCCCAGCACTGGCTTTCTGGTTTCCAGTGTGATGCTGTGTTCATACTTGCCCTTGCCCTTGCTTTTGCCTTCATAAGCTTTAAGCCTCTTCCCTCACACATGCTTCAAATATAAGGGAAAAAAATGTAAATGATGGCCCCCTAAACTTTCTGAATGAGAAAAAAAAATTATCGTCAAAGTCTACCTCACCTTCAGAAAAATGCCAACAACAGCAATTCCGTCGGGTTGCTTTAGAGCTTCTCCAAAGGTGTTGTATTTTGGGTTCCAGTGAACCAGGTGAAGCTGAAACCACCAAACACAGGCTGTAAGATAAATCCTTGGCACATGAAAATGAATGTTATTATCCACAGGAGACCCAAATGTGTGCAGTCTCTAGGTTGTTGCTGAATACCCCCCATGGGAGTTGATGGAATTCTAAATATTAATAAGCAATACTTTGACGTTCAAATAAAAAAGTGCATAAAACATCTGCTTCCTTGTAGACAGAGCTCCAGGGTCTGGCAGCAAGCTTATCTTAATTCAGGACATGGGTACAGCTTAAGTAATCAAGTTGCCCATATTGAGTTACTTAGAATGGCAAGAGAATAGTTTGTACCTGTTAAAAATATATATTCAATTTCAAAAATGTGAGATGATTCCATGTACAAACCTCAAATTCAAAGACTTTTCCACATTTGGAGAAAAAAAAAATTAGCCTGAACTTTCTCCAGTAGTGGAAAAAATGTCTAGTCAAGGAGATAGTCCTAATAATTTATTGGTCTCTACCCCAGCTCTTTAGATTGGCTGTAGAGAAATGGCCATACCACTCTAAATGTGCTGGATGTCAATCTAATCTGGAAGCCAGCCAGGCCAGGCCTGGGTAGCACATGGAGTTTCTTCACGTTTTATTTAGCCAACAGTTAAGTTCTCAGTGATGTCCCCCAAAGGGATCAACTACAGTGTGCTGCCATGGTCACATTTCCATCCCATCCTAACATCTGCTTTAGAAAGAAGGAAGCAGGAAAATTAAGTCCACTCACTTCCAGGATAATGCTATACAGACCAGATTTTCTAATAAAAAAGGGAGGTGGCCTATCTTATTCCATTTGCAAGTTACACCTTCTATAAGATGCGTACACACACGAGCATATTTCCTTAAGCAAGCAGAAATTAAGGATTTCTTGTAATCACTAAATGTTGTTTTTGAAGCACTGTATGTACTCATAAAAGAGATATCCGAGCCAGTCCATCAAAGACTAGGCCTAGCAACTCTGCCTCTGTCACGTAACCCTTATGTCACCTATTTGTAACCTCTTACAAGTGGTTGTAGTGGGTATCAAATCAGCTAATGCACACAGTTGCTTCACACACTTTAACTACCTTGCTGTTCTGGGTCTATTCCAGACTATGCTGATTTCTCAATATAATCTGGAGAATCTTCATGGAGGATGCTGGCCCACTTGTCTGCTTCTCTCTGACCTAGGATTTTTGGTGGCTTCACTTCATGCTAAAGCTATAATATCTTCAGTGAGAGGCCGGAAGCACAAAGCATACTGCAGGTGTTTCTAAGTTTCCAGTTTTGACCATTTGAGACCTGGAGTGGATTGGGCAGTTCCTCCTACCTCAGCGGCATACTTTACTCCATCCACTGTGTGCTCAGAGCCATGGTCATCCGAGGAACCCCAGTGAAGATGAAACTGTCGAAGTCGATAGGGCCCAGAGAGAGGACCACCCCTCAGCACTGTGAGTAAGATAATACGGTAACTGGTGAGTCCTCCCCTTGCTCTGCAGAGCCCCATCTGAGACCTGCACTCTACACCATGAGTACAAGATGACACTTCCGGGAATATGGAGACATCTCCAGGTGTTTGTAACTTGAAGTCGGAATATATCAAAGTAAGAATTTTCTTTTCTCTCTTATTTTTGCTTGTTTGTCTTATCCTTTTTAGCACTTCAGGAAACAAATTAAAGTAGCAGATATGCTATAAGGACTCTGAGGACAGGTCAGTAGTGCAGTTCCATTGGGGAGAACTGGACACTTGACAGGATTTAGGTACGGTTTCTGAGTTCACACCCACATCATTGAGTGATCTCAGGCAAGATGCTCAACTTCTCTGAATTGGTCTTTGAATCTCTAAGAAGGTGATGATAACCCCACACTTTTTGAGCTGCTGTGAGGATTAACTAAGATCAAGCACTTAAAGGGTACTTATGTCACAGTGCTCTTTGAGGGATCACAGAGCAGGCAGGAATTCCTTGTTAGTCTGCCACTTTCAGTTGTGCGTTTCCTTAGACGACACGTTAGAACGCTCATACACAACTGCCCTGCACCGTGCCTGTTCAAGTCAGATGAAACAAAAGTTCAACATTGTCCCAGGAAGCTAGGCAGGGTAGACTTACCTAAATCTCTCATGTAGTTTGGCCCCGATTCATTCTATCTGGGGAGCAATTTAAAGGTTCAAATATCTTCAAGATTTAGCAATGTAAGTTAGATGCAAATAGCATTGTAACAGCAACTGTTTTAGAAAGGCTTGGTTTTCCCTCAGTGACACAGCCAAACCCACAGTGCAGAACAAGAACAATAATGCTAGGCTTGAACCAGCTTGATCATATGGGAAGGAGGTGGTTTGGTTTGTTGTAGTTTCCTCTCCAGTTACTGAGAATAGCTATGATCTGTATTCGAGTCTGAAGTATTGGACTAAACCACATTAAATCTCTAATATTCAATGTTTTGTTTTTAAAAATGGCATTTCATATGATTATGCTTTTGATTTTTTAATCTTGTTGTTTTTCCTTCCAAATGGAGTGCCAGCTTTTAAGGCAAAGGAAAAATGAGAAAGAGAAACCGAAAATAATTGCTCAAGAAATGGTAAGCTTCTGTCATCTTCTTTACCTGGAAGGTAGGAGTGCTCACTCTATCATTATTTCATATGACATCACCTGGGTGCTCACTCACGTATGCCAACAAAAATCTTTAGTTTATGGGGAATGTGGTTCTAGGAAACTGCATTCTTGATAACTAAAGAATAATTCTCATCTAGACTTGTTTGCAATGAAATAAAGGTTGCTCAATAGAAACGAAGTTTAGTTCTGGGTGCCCTGGAACTCATCAAAAAGAAGAACAAATTAGCCTTATATGGGTAGCAACCCTCTTGTCTCTGCCTTTTGAGTGTTGGGTTTATAGGTGTGAGAGCCACCAAGCCTGTCTGAAATAAAGTCATATTAGTCTTATTTTATTTCACAGATTGGTTACTAGTACAGACTTTAAAAAAAATCTTATGACTTTTCCAGTTTCACACTAACACTGACCCAAGAAGAAGTGGTCATATACATCAGAAACACTTGCCACAAAGATGCTTTAGTTGAATCCCAGTGGCCCTACCTTTTTCCCATTGGTTGGCCCCCTTCTAGTCACCCAGGGAAAAGAGGACCTAATTGATTTATTTCTGTTTGAGGGGGCCTGTTCTCCATACCATCAGAAAACATAAGGATTTCATCTCTCAGTATTCAGAAAGTCAGAAAGACCAACCATACATATTCTGTCTACAGAGTGTGTTACTAACATTTAGCTTGGGCACATGCCATTTTTCAGCAACAGTGTGACCAAAGTTAGTGAGATTGTATGACATTCTTTTTCATTGCATAAATATAATTCTTTACAACTATAGTCAAACCAAATGCCATCTCCATTTCAGGGATGAACTTCTCCCTCTTCCCTCTAATTCTGTTACTGTGTCACAAATTGCATCTTGCCAATAGATACTGAAAACACCCATAGACCCCTTCCTAAGTGCTATACTTACTAGACCTGTCGTAGGTATCATCAAACACTACTCTGCAGGTTTTCCCATTATTCAGGATGGTCTTAGCAGAGCCAGGATCATAAGATGCTGACCAGGGTTGCAGAGAGGGGTCATGCTTGATGTCTTTAGTATGTAGCTCAATGGGTGACTGGTTGTCCCCTTTGGCAATGGGATAAAGTTCATGCCAATGCTCAGGACCTAGAAAGTAAACAAAAATAATTTATTTACTTTAGTACATCCCTAGGCCTCTTTCCAGTGTACTAAGCCAGCAAAATACACATAGGCCAGGGAGTGTTTACAGAAAGGTCGTGGGTTCATATTAAGCAACATATATAGGAGTTTACATTTCAAACCTATTTAGAACCTCGCTCATCCATGCTGGAAGAGTATTTCAGTCCATGCAGTTCCCTCCCCTGGCTTGGGAATCATGAAGCCTGCAACGCTTATCTTTGAAATGAATCATATATTGATCACATGGTTTTGAATTACTTTTCAGCTTTCAGGCTGCACTTTTCTTCTCTTGCCCATGGCTGAGGGCTGGCTCATAACCAAAGCAATAATTGGTATATGGGGGGGGGGTCCCGGGTTCAAAGAAGCCAAGTGCTCACTGCTGAGTTTCACAGAGCAAGGTTCAACCGGACATCATTTCGGGTTAAGCGACTTCTCAGACACATCATCAAACCTTAAACTAGTTAACAGTGTGTCTCTGAGCTTCAGGTTCCTCTGTGGAAAGGAAAGCAATGAATCATGTTCAAAGGACCAGCAGCATGGGACACCGGAAAATTCTCCGTAAATGTTAGTTCTTAACTACTACTACACCCACGTTTTCCAGCACACTTGTGCAATGCCGAGGGCAACCCTGTAGTAACTTGCCCTGGTCCCACTCACCATTGTGGCTGGAGTAGCCCCACTCCTTAGCCATGGCCACCTTCCTTCTTGTTTCTCAGCGCTGGACAGCTCCTTCCTTATCTTCCTCCAGTTGTCCCGCAAAGTCCTCTAGAGTCCTGACTTTTATATAGGTCTCCTGCCCTGTGCATGGCCTTATTAGGTCAGCAGGGTGAGGCAGGGGGCTAAACTGGATTGGGGTGGTATTTGGAAGGCGGGGCGGGCGAAGCGAATGAATTACAAGATTTGGACAGCTGGCGGGTGAGAGGGTGGCAGGAGGGGTCAGGAAGGGGGGGGGGCAGAAGGTCCCCCTGCTTGGCTCTCACATGATCCCTGGCTCCTTCCCCTGCTCCCGTTGCAGGTTCGAAGCGGTAGGGCTTTCTAAGAGCTCCGGCGGCGGTACTGGTTCCCTTTCTGCCTTCAGCTCTTGGGGGTCTGGAGTGGCGCTGGCGCAGGCTGCAGTCCAGTTCCTCTTAGCGAGCAACTAAAGCTGCACCCGCCGCTCTTGCAGCTAACTCAGAAGATGCTGCTTTTCCCTGGGACTGGAGGACCACGGGCTGCGGTCTCTGAACGCAAAGGTTCCTTTTTCTGCAGGAATCCATTTAGGGGGGCGGGAAAGAACTCCTCTGATCCTCTAACTCGAGCCTGATTCCCTGTGGTAAACGTGTAAAATCCTGGGGCCAGAGATGAGGAGGAGCCCGAGACTACACGCTGCCCAGTCCCATTATCCTTTACAGGATGAGTTCCTAAGGCAGACCTTGAGAGCCTTTACATCCAGCCTAGCCGGTACGTTTATCCAGGCACAGCTCCGAATCCCGGGGCGGAGCAAGGACTCTGCACCCCAGCCTTTACCCAGCAGCAGTCTGAGACTGAGCCACACTGGGAGCTGTGCTCCGTTAGTCTCGGGACACCAAGAATACCCGAAGCTTTAGAAGGGCACTGCCGTAAAATGACACGCTACTTAAAAATTTCACCCTTCAAGACGTAATTAGAGACTAGACAAAACAGGAGGAAAGGGTCTACGGAATCGGTTTTGGAAGGTCATTTCTTTTCTCTCAGTCCTGTGTTGCATAATGCAATAAACCACACAACAGGAGACTAAAGCTGGAGTATCCCATGTGTGCATGACAAAGGTATAATTAGAAATATCTGGTTACAGTTCACACTAAAGAAGTCAATATAGCAAACGTTTGCCATTCTCGGCATATATTATTTAAAAAAAAATCTTGTGTGGGCAAGAATATCTTTTTTTAAAAACAAACTAGAAATTTCCAAGATTGCTGCATGCGTTTTCTTGTATCCTCTACTTTTTAAAAAATGACTCTGTTTTACTTTTCCTTGGGGGTTACAAAACCTGAGAAGGAAGTCTCTCCTCATGGCAAAGACAGCTCATCGGCTAGGCATTTGGAATGCCTGACAGCACTAAGAACCTGGACGCCAGGGGAGTCATTCTCCAGGATATTTTTGTGACCAGGCATCACTTGATCCACACAATAGCACTGTGGAATCAAGAACCCTCAGTTAGTTTGGAAAATCCAAGCAAACACAGGGAAACAAATGCCCTTAGCTCTAGGCTAAGGGGCCATGCACAGCTGTGTTTCTAACTCACGGTGATAGCTGCTGCTGAGTTTGGGATTGATAGAGGTGCTTTAAAGTTATCAGTACATGATTATTAGTGTTAATAAGCCATAATCTCACTCCAGGCCATCAACTGTCACACTTGCTTTTCTCTGACTTGGCTGATCAGGAGATTGATAGTGAAATCCCATAGTTACCAAAAGCTATTTGATACTGAGTATTGTATTAAGACATAGGGGATTATAAATGCAATCTAGGAATTTATCATGCTACTAATGTTTATGACAAAATTCTTTTTAAATGTTTTATTTGCAATTTAATAATGTACACAGTGAGGCATATTAAAAAACATTAGGTAAAATTGTCAATGTGAAGTATCTAACAGATTTAGATATAATAACTTTGAAACCGATACTTAGGAATTTTATCTTATTTTCTGGTAAGAAATTAGTGAAAACTACAATTTAACATAACATATAATAAATGTATAATTATAAGCTGGAGTGGTCTCTCACACCCTATGTACCAGCATCTGGAGTCAACAAGGTAGGTTTATCTCTGCGAGTTTGAGGCCAGCTTGGTCTACATAGTGAATTCAAGGGCAGCTAAGGTTACATAATGAGATCCTACCTCAAAAAAGAAAGAAGTAATTATATCTCATCTGAATCCACTGCAAATAAATGTTTCAAAACCCCACCTGCAAACTTACCAACTGCATTCTAACTGAGTCACTCCTGCTGACTTAACTATGCATTTCAAAAGCGTCTGTCCACAGAGAAAAAGATTCTTATGAATTTGGCCCAGAATTTTAGGCTTTTGGAACTGATTGGAAAGGAACACCATTAGGTGTATGCTAAACTAGGAGAACGATAAAAGATCTATTAATAATTAACTACAGACTATCTCTTCCAGTTCTCCCAACAGAATCATGGGAAAGTTTATGTAGTTGGCAAAATTTCTGGATTTTCCTCCCAAAATGAGTTTATGTAAACAGAGAAAGAGATAGGAAAGAAGGGTGGAAAAACTAGGCAAAGAGGTACCCTTGGCAGGGTCAACTAGATGATGTTTAATTGAATTTAAGGTATTAGAAGTGGTAACATTTAGATATATTTTATCCGTGATTCAACCATCCTGTTTTGTAAAGATATCATATAATAAATTTGGCATTTGTATTGCATTACAAAGAAATAAAACCATCCATTAGGAATATTGTATTCAGGAACGTGGATTTTTTTCTACTACTTTTTATTTTCATAGAATAAGCTCTAGGACAGAAATGCAAAACTAGGCAGCAAAAGTAGGTAAATTAAACTTTCCACAAAACTATGTGACTGTGATGGATAGCCTGACTTTGACCTTCCTTCTTACCAGAGTTAGCTGAAGCTTGCTAGGGTACGCTATAGATAATGATAGGCTCGGTTCCCAAGTTTGCCAATGGTGACAGCTGGCCCATTTGGATAAGATCTTATATTTGGCCACTGTTCTTGGCAAGGCTGGAGGAGAGCAGCCTGAGTGCCTACCCTAACTGGGATATGCCAGGCTGATCACTTTACTTGAAAGTGGGAGCAGGAGTCCCAGGGTGAAGTACTCCTAGTAAGAGCTGATCACAAAGGTTCATCATTCAAATAAGTTTCTTCCAAGCGTAAATTGTTATTTTAAAATGTAGTAACAGAATATTAAGTGGAGAAAATGATTGAACTTTCTTTTTGTATGTTTTTTTTTTTCCTTCCATGACAGGGTTTCTCAGCAGCTTTGGAGCCTGTCCTGGAAATCACTCTGTAGACCAGACTGACCTTGAACTCATAGACATCTGCCTGCCTCTGCTTCCTGAGTGCTGGGAGTAAAGGTGTGTGCCACCATCTCCTGGCAATCGTTGCATTTTATGTTTTCTTAGGACTAAACACAGACCATTAAAACCTGTTTCTAAGAATTTCATGATGATGGTTGTTTATAGGATTTAACATGTGTTTTATTTTTTTGTGGAGTTTTTAATGTTTTGTTTGTTGACTTTTCAGAAACATTTAGGTGGATGTTTGCCTATACTTTTCTTTGGTCCTAGGATCCTTCTATCAGAATTGGAGGGCATAATGCCCACCTTCTAAGGTTCTTGTGAAGCTTACATGACATTATTCAAGGTAGTTAACATAGCTTGAGATAGTAGAGTGAGCATACAGCAGAATTAGTGTCTTTCCTTATTCACCACGCATAAATCTCTCTGGAAAGTCATCTACCCTAAATACTCCCTATTCTTTGTTGGTCACGAACAGTGCCTTCTATAAAGATTCAGGCATTATACTGGCCTGCCCCTCTCACCTAGCAGAATGTACTCAGTCAGTACCCTGGCCATGACTGCGGTTCAAAGGACCCTTTAAAAGAAAGAGCTCCCTGCCCGCTTATGCTCTCTTTACCTGCTCCTCTCTTTCCTGCTATTCCTCTGAGTCACACAGGACTTTTCCTGCCTCCCTCTTCTCTTCTGTCTTCTCTGCCTCTGTGTCTCTTTATCTCTTTCCTCTTTCTCCCCCCCTTCCCTCCCCTTTCTAATAAAACTCACTGAGCTCTATCTGCGTAGTGTGTTTGTCCTTCTGACCTGTTCATCCCCACCCAACATGAAATCCACCAAGGTCCCCCACGGGCTTCATCATAACGCATTGCAAAGTGTAGGTGGCCGACATACAGGCGTCATTACACGGAAGACATATCTTGGGTATGTGAAATAAAAAACACCTACAGTATTCACCCTCTCCTACAAACTATCTTGTCTGCTTGGAATAACCACGTTTTGGCCCTTTTCAGCTCAGGTATCATAGCAAACCTTAATCTACTGGGGACCAATTATGCACGGGATGCATTAATCTAACAGAACTCAGTGAAACCCTCAGACCTCCAGTAATACCTAAAAATAATCTCATAAGGTAACTTTCAGGTGCTTTCAGAGGCTTGGTACATCTGCTCTTCAAATCCATCCTTTACTACATCCGCAGAGCCTTCTTTACTTTTCCCATAAGGCTGTTATTCTTCCTTGCTGTCTACTTTATTATTATTTTTTAACACACTTTAATTTGGTTCAGCTGCTCCTTCCTTTTTCTATACTTTATAGTTTAAAACTGCGTATATCAGCAATTATGCAGACTGTGCCATGTGCATGAAAATGCCATGCTCTTGCCATCTCTAAGATCACTGATGTATTAAACCTGCCTTCTTTTGTTTCCAACTGTCCTTCTAATTCAAGGGAAAGCCACTGGTTGGGATTGTAATGACTCGTGTTATGAGAAAAGAACACTGTATTCGCTGTCAAGTATCTTGCTTTCATGGGAAGAAGAATATAGCAACCTAATTTCTATGGGTACTAGCAGATTCCTCTGTAATTCACAACAAAAAGCATTGTGACCCTCAACAGCTTCTCAGAATAACACTCAACCCTTTCTGGTTTCTCAAGAGTAAACACAGTGATGCCTTTACACTGGAGAGGTAACATGCTGTGCCAACTCTTACTCTCATGTTATGAGTTTTATTGAATATATAACTAATAGAGGAATAAAAAGGACTGGCTTTTAAATTTTAAGTGCTGTTTCATAAGAC